TATCGGTTTTGCCCCGTCCACCAACTCGATGGCATGATCAACCTCCCTCCTTGGTGGAAGACCTTTGGGCAAATCGTCGGGCATCACGTCCTTGAACTCAACAAGGACTTGCTCTATGGGAGGCGGGATTCGTTCCTCCTTTGCCGGCTCCTCGTGCATGGTTCCTCCTCAAACACCATGGCGGCAAAGGTGTGTTCACCCGTTTTAGCCCCTTGTTCAGCCGGGAAGGGCTAATCTCATTTTCCCGTCTAAACTTTACCACACAAGGCTTCGCCTTGGAGGATCACCATCGTGTCGTTGTTGGGCACGATGATCGGCTTTACCTGGTCTAAAAACTCCATGCCAAACACAAGACCATAATCATCCATAGGTGCAATGGAGAAATTAGCCGTACGACCGCTTGCCGATTTTAAGAGGCACATCCACGGCTTCGCCTACAAGACCCGTCCATTCGCCGTTCACGCCCTTGAAACAGCCTTTGCTAGGTGTCCACTTGACGCCAAGCGAACGGGCTACCTCTTCCGTGAGATAACTCGTGTCGGCCCCCGTGTCTAGCATGCCCCATCTAGACCCGTTTGCGAACGATGCCTCCATGTAAAGACGGCCTTGACGTGTCTCGGCCTTGGCATGCACGGCATCTAGCCGTTTCATGCAAGCGACCCGTTTCTCTCTTCTTGGCACAAACCTTGTGCCAATGCTGCCAACTTCGAACGAGACGGGCAATCACGTGCCATGTGCGCTCCCCGCACAAGAAGCACCCTTGAAACTTCTTTGGCTTGTCCCCTTGGTCTCCTTGCTTGAAGACGGCTTTGTATAGTCGGCTGCCGGCTTTGCGGGGTGGAAGACTTCCCTTTGTCTCCCCACCTTTGCCTTGGAACGGCTTCTTGCCCTTGTCCTTGGAGCTATCCTTCTTTTGGAACTCAACAAGCGACTCGGCCACCTTTAACGCCCGATCGATGTCCTGGACTTCTCTCCGTTGTAGCTCAAGTTTGGCCCAACGGTTGAGACCGTCCATGAAAGTAAAGAACGCCTCCTTGGGCGAGAGATCCGGAATTTCAAGCATCAAGTCCGAAAATTCCTTAACGTATTCCCGGATTTGTCCTTCCCTATGGTGCAGACGACGAAGCTTGGCCCGGGCTTCGTCTTCCGCATCCACGGGTAGGAAATACTTTCTAAACTCTTAAAACCATCCCACGTGGTGAAGACCGGGTCTCCATCCCCCACGGGTTTCATCATACGTTTCCACCATGATAAGGCACTATCTTTAAGATAAAGAGAGGCCTGGAAGAGTCTTACCGAGTCGTCCATGATATTCATAGCCCCAAAGTACCGTTCCATACTGTAGAGAAAGTTCTCTACGTCCCTCAAGCGACGGCTGCCCTTGTATTCGTCCGGCTTGGGCGCTTCAAGCCTTGGAACCGTCCCCACGGCTCCGGTTGTCCCTTGCACGGCCACGGTGTCAAGCCGTGCCTTAAGACGCGCCGATTCTGCCCGAGAAGTCTCCAGCTCCCCATAAGCCGGTTGACGTCGTCTTGGAGGGCGGCAACACGAGCAAGGCTTTCCTCTTTCGACTTGTTGCAACGTTCCACCATTTCGTTGAGCGTCCCTAGCATGTCGTCCTTCATTTGCTGCATGACCTCTTGCAATTCCCCTGCGAATCGCTCCATGCGAGCTTCGACGACCCCTGCTACCACCTCAGGGTGCTCGTCCCCAACGGTCTTGGTGGTCGGCCACAGCAAGCTCTAGCTTGGCAAGCCGTTTCTCCAATTCCACCATCGGCTCCCTAACGACCGACTTCTCCTTACGGGTTCCTTTGCGGGTGGTCCTCCCCACCTCACGGGAAACGTGATCCCCCTCAAGCTCCGACCCTTGAACGACCTCCGAAGGGTTGGACATAGCTTATGCACGAAAGAAAACCAACAAATGGAAGCGTAGACGATGTAGCACACCAAGTATCGAGCCGAGGCTCTGATACCAACTGTCACGGGCTTACTTTTTCAAAGTAACGGCCGTGCGGCACTAGCACAAAACAACTAACGATCAAGTGCTAGCTCAGCCTTAAGACCCCCAAAGCGTGCAAAGCTAGGCAAGACCTTAAAGAACGGAGGCAAAGAAAAACTTAAGAAAGGTTGAAAGTGAAAGAATGATGAAGGCACAAGAGAGCTTAGGGAATGCTTGAGAACTCTACTCAAAGCTTGGATGGTTACAAATGGAGGGGGCATGGGGTATTTATAGGCAAACCCCCCAAGTCCTAAAGAATTCTAGAGAATTCTATGTACATAATAAAATAGTGGGATTCTAGAGAATTCCTACAATAAAATATTCTAAGTTCAAAATATCTACAAGTCTCTAGAATCTTCCACACGATTCTAGCAAACTCGGGTAGCTTCCATACGGTTCCACTCGTTTCTAGAGAGTTCCGGGCCTCTCTAGAAAATTCCAGAGTCTTCAAGATTTGACCGGAAAATTCCACAAGGCTCTAGACCGTTCCGTCCCATGTCCGTCTACGAAAATAGCCCGTTTCGCATCAAACCACCCGAATTCATGGTGAAGAAAAACTGTCCGTGACATGGGGATGAAAGGGCTTCGGTCCAGCCCTATCCCGATGATTTTCCTCATTTCTTCTCGAATCAAAATGTTCTGGTCTCTTGTTCCTTGCTGGTCTTCCTGGTAGTACGGAGGATTTTCCCTATGCCCGTGATATTGTTGCTGTCTTGGAGGCGAGTATCGAGGACGGTGATGGTATCCTTGGTCATAATCGCCCTTGGTGTTGTTGCGGCCTCGACGTGGCTCGTAGTCGTGCCTGTACTCACCTTTTCGGGGGCTCCTTCGATTCCAATTGAATTCAAGGCGATTATGTGCCTTGGTTTTCCTTGGGGTTTTCCCCTGTTCTCCTTCGAGGATCTCGACGCTCGGGGGATTTGGATTCTCTTCGACGCCCTTCTGTTGGTATATCGCGTCGAATTCCTCGAGGGCGGTGTCGAAGGCTGGGTATCTTTCTCTTAAAGCATCCCAAAATATGGTATCTCTGGTAGCATGCGAGCATTCTTCGCGGGGGCTTTCGTAGCCCTCGGTCTCTGGTAATTCTCCTGCTCTTGGAATTTCCGCTTGCCCCGTTTCTTATCGAGAAGGGCCAGGGTTCTGCGAGCTTCTTTTTCGTCGATCAGATCTTCCAATTCTTGTTCTGTAGGGTCGGGTTGTCCAAGGAGACAACGCCGTCTAGTTTCTTCGAGGACATATCTCCGCATCCTTTGCTGTTGATCACTATTATCGCCCAGCTTCTTGAGTTCGGCCTCGATTTTGGCCAGTTTCTTCCAAACACTTGGCGGCAGTGGGGGTATATCGAGGGGGCAGTATATCCTCTTTTTCAGGTGCAAGATTGGTGTTGCTTTGTTTCTTTGGATCGGGCTGAGAAGCACCGAGGACCAAACGCTCCTTAGTTTGTTCTTTCCCGGGGTTCTCCGCCGTGGCTTCTTCTTGTCTTTCTTTTTTCTTGCCGGCGTTGGAATTCGGCCAGGGGAGTATCGTCTCCTAGACTACGCTGGTGGCCGGAGGAGGCCGTGCTTCCGGTGTCTTCTTCAACTCTGACCATCGTGACGGTTGTTCTGGCAACCTCGATTGTTATGAAAAGATGTTAAGAAAACCTCAGGAGGTTTCTGCGACACAAACCCTAACTTACGGGTCCCACCGGGCGTGCCACTTGACGATGCACGGATATGCGCCGTCGGTTTAACGGTAGAACTCCGATGCTTAAGTCAGTAAACTGGATTGCTAGAAAGTTTTGGGAGGTAGTATGTTTGGCTTATAGATTGCGTACCTGAATTACTGTATGAGCTACCCTATTTATAGGTATGTGATTACCCGGACCATTCCGAATCCTACTAGGTTTTAGGATTCACACCGTCCTAAGAGTCCCAGTTGGATTCTTCTTGTGGTGAGTGGGCCGGGACAATCTCGATCATGGATCTGGACTCGTCATAATTCTAGAAAATATATATTGTTTCCGCCGTCAACAAAATTTCCACTCAAGAAAAATATAGTTTTTTTTTTGTAATAATATTGTTTTGATATGTATCAGAACTGTTACAGAACTTTTGTAAACTATTTGTGAGGTAGTTCTTCGTTAAATTTAATTATTTCTTTGGAAAGTATCAGAGGGTATTTTTAGCAAAATCTTTGTGAGTCAGTTTTTAATAGTTGCGCTAGAACTGTCGTAGGAATGCTTAACAAAATTTTGGTGAGATAGTTCTTCTTTTGGGTGAATTTTAAACACTGTCTTTATATACCTTTTTTTTTTATTTTATAAAATTGGAGTAACACCCGCCAGGTACCGCCCTAGATTTTCTTATAGAAATAAAAAAGTCTTCAAAGGTTTTTTTTCTTTTTTTTTCCTTTTAGTTTTGTGAAGGATAGTATCTGCGGCCATAATTTTGATTATATTAATTTTAATAAATATGTTAAGACTCATCCATGGGGAGGATTGTTAGAGGACAAAAGAGTAATTATAAAGTGAACTATAGAGAACATTTATAAACAAATATTCATGTGGAGGGCAAATTGTTCATTTCGCCTGATTAATGGATCAAATTCAGGATTCGGTAAGAAACCGAAGGAAGAGATTAATTGCTCAAATAATGAACAAAATGGGGATTCTCATTTTTTTTTTCTCTAAGAAATTTCAGATAATGTTGTAGGGCCAAGCGATTTGCATTCAATTTAGTTTATCTTGTAAAATTAAGAATGCATTTATAAGTTATCAGGATAAGGTGAAAACACCCATGCCAATTATTACGGATAGAAGAGGTTGATATCATGTAACATTATTATGGGAAATGGATGGTATAGGAAAAATCATCATTCAAAGAGAAACATAGGAGGTTTGGCCTCATTTTAAGGCTTAGTTTAAGCGCATGTATCGCAAAAATGTGATAACACAAGCGTCATTGAAGATATGACGTGTTGACTAAAATTAGAAGGATTATCAGCCATGAAAATAGTTAGTTGGATGATTTATGGAACCATTTTGATTGGGACATCCCTTCCTTGCCGATGATCTTTGTTACAACCCATAATAGAATCATTGATTTTCCATTAAAGTTGACCCCGTCTCAATTTCAGAAACTGAATTTTGTTGATCCAAATCTCTGAAAAAAAGTAAATTTTTGCAGAATAAAATTTGATACCATGGGTTATTCAACGGCAATGGAGATTCTCGGCGAGAGAGCTTCATGGATGAGGGAGTCTTTGCAGAAGAGCCAGGCCGTCGCCGATAATATGGTCGCCATCCTTGGTTCATTTGATAGCCGTCTCTCTGCCCTCGAAACAGCCATGCGCCCTACTCAGCTGAAAACACGTTCGATGCGGAGAGCACATGAAAATATCGACAAGACTCTTAAAGCCGCTGGAGTCATTTTGAGTCAATTTGATCTTGCTCGTCAGGCCGAGGCAAAAGTACTGAGGGGACCTCATGAGGATTTGGAAAGTTATCTAGAAGCAGTTGATCAGTTAAGGAGCATTGTTGGTTTTTTCAATAGTAAGAAAAGCCTACAAAGCACTATTGGGGTTGTCAACCATGCCAATAACTTACTCGCAAAGGCGAAGCTGAAACTTGAAGAAGAATTCCGTCAGCTTTTGGCATCGTATAGCAAGCCTGTGGAGCCTGATCTTTTATTTGACTGCCTCCCAACTACATTGCGGCCTTCAACTGGAGGATCATCACCTGCACCAGGGGATGGTACTAGCGGCATGAAATCCTCCGAGCACCATAAGAAGAGTCTGGAGCCTGTAGTTTACCATCCTCCTACACTGATTCCACCAAGAATACTTCCTTTGCTACATGACTTGGCTCATCAAATGGTTGAAACTGGTCATCATCAACAGTTGTTCAACTTTTACAGTGAATCCCGAGGCTTAGTCATGGAACAAAGCCTCAAAAAACTAGGAGTTGAAAGACTAAGCAAGGACGACGTGCAAAAGATGCAATGGGAAGTTCTGGAGGCCAAGATCGGTAATTGGGTACATTTCATGCGAATCGCAGTGAAACTTTTGTTTGTTGCGGAAAAGAAAGTCTGTGATCAGATTTTCGAGGGTCATGATTCCCTCAGGGATCAATGTTTTTCAGAAGCAACGACGGATAGCGTAGGCATGCTTCTTAGTTTTGGAGAGGCTATTGCCAAAAGCAAGAGATCCCCTGAAAAACTGTTTGTTCTTCTTGATATGTATGAGATAATGAGAGAGCTTAAACCTGAGATTGATGTTATATTTGGAAGCAAGTACGGAAATGATGTGCGAGAAGCTTCTTCGGTGTTAACAAAGCGCCTGGCACAGACTGCTCAAGATACTTTTGTTGATTTTGAAGAGGCTGTTGAGAAAGATACCACAAAAACTACAGTGCTTGATGGCACCGTTCACCCGTTAACTAGCTATGTGATTAACTATGTCAAATTTTTGTTTGACTACCAATCAACTCTTAAGATACTTTTCACGGAGTTTGGTGGTGATGCTGATGCGGATGAGAAGTTGGCATCTCTAACAACTCGCATAATGCAGGCACTTCAAAGTAATCTGGATGGGAAATCAAAGCAGTACAAGGATCCTGCTTTAACTCAGCTATTTCTCATGAATAATATGCATTATATAGTAAGAGCGGTGCGCAAGTCAGAAGCGAAAGATATGCTGGGGGATGATTGGGTGCAGATACAAAGAAGAATCGTTCAACAACATGCGAATCAATACAAGCGGATCTCATGGTCCAAGATTCTCAGTTGTCTCTCTGTTCAAGGAGCTTCCTCGGCGGGTGGAAGTGGCACATATGCTGATGGTGGTGGCAGCAGCAACAGTGGGGTATCAAGAGCAAATGTGAAAGACAGGTTCAAGACCTTTAACCTTCTATTTGAGGAACTTCATCAAAGGCAATCACAATGGACGGTCCCAGACAGTGAGCTCCGTGAATCCCTGAGACTGGCTGTTGCGGAAGTCCTACTCCCGGCTTATAGGTCTTTCATAAAACGTTTTGGGCCCATGATACAAAATGGTAAAAATCCCGGTAAATACATTAGATATAGTCCTGAGATCCTTGAAAAACTACTAGCCGAGTTTTTTGAAGGTAAAACATGGAATGAACCAAGGAGATAGATCAATCATATCAACATGAAAGGTGTTTATTCATTCAGACTCAAAGGTTGTTGGAAAATAAATAGTACTCGACAGGGGGAGAGAGAGAGAGAGAGAGAGAGAGAGAGAGAGAGAGAGAGAGAGAGAGAGAGAGAGAGAATCCTACTAGCATCATCATCGTCCACAAGTTTTCTGCTTTATTATACCAAAAAGATTTTAAAAAGAAAAAGAAAAAAGAAATGGATAGCTGAAGAATAGTTCTAGCCTGCATAGGAAGGATCGACACAATGTTACATGTAAGGTCACATATCAATCAATTAGTTGATCAAGCGGCGGTAGAGGTTACAACACCTTCTTTTACACCTACACAAGAGAAAAGGAAATAGAATCATGTTGACAATCTTCATAGGGAGACATGTTTGTGGAATTCCTTGGGAGAAAATTTTATTAATTTGGTACACATTCAAGGTAGATAGATGGGTAGAGGTCTCAAGGTTGGCTGATATCCAAGTGGACTGAAATGTCCTTGTGTAATTGATCCAAATAAGGTGGATACTACATATTGATTAACTGTATGTAGATGTAAAGAGCACTCAGTCGGGATGATATAACTCATATTCATGATTGAATCTAGCTATGATTGAGATCCACTTGATTTTGCAAAATGGTGATTCCTGGTGAACACCTAAAAATTTAGTACTTTCATCATACATGTGGTTAGTTCTTTATGGGTGGGTGGGGGGTTCTTTAGGTGTTCAAACGGTGTGTAAATTTGATGAGATCAAAGTGGTCATGATGAGAATGTCTATTGCTACAATAGTCATACACAACATTGTCAACAATTACATAGATTTGATAATGTTTTTTGCGCAACATCTTTAAACAATATAATTCAAAAACTATAATAAATTCAGATGCTTAGATCCAATCAGTTTTTGGGATGTTTATTTTTATTTTTGGCTTTGATTAGCTGAAACTTTTGAGGATAGGTCTATTAACATTTTTCAATTTTGTTATTTATAATTGGGCGAACTACATTTTACCCCCCGAGTATTAACCTGATCTACCATAAACTCTCCGAGTTTTAGTGATGCTATCATATATTCCCTGAGCAGTGAAATGACAAAATAACCATGGTTTACATATATTTGATTTGATTTTCTTTTTTTTTTTCAATTTTTTCTTCAATTTTTGATCATTAAAAAAAAAAATTGCTTCATTTGTCATTTTCAAATTTAATTAGGACAGGTTAATAAATGAAATTTTTTTAAAGGAAAATCCAGGGTGATACGTTGCGGGAATACCCCGATTTTATTGATATAAAAGTAGAAAGGTACAAAGACAGTGCTTACGATTTATCCAAATAAAAGAACAGTCGTACAAAAGTTTTTCTAAAAATTCTACGACGGTTCTAATGCATATTACTTCACTAAAAAATTTTCTTATGAAGATTATCTATAATCCCACGATAGTTCTTTTTGAATAAAAGAAGAATTTTAAAACTAGGAGTCTGTCTCACAAAGATTTGTCTAAAATTCCATGACAGCTCTATACTCTATTCTACCTATCTAATTCTAATAAATGGAAAAGATACTTGATCTAAGAACAAAGTACCTCTTAAAGATTGTGGAAGCCTAGACATGCTTTCATATTCAGTTGATTGTCCATTTGAAGTTTGCTTTGAAAGACCATTCGCTAGTGCATTTATTTCCTAGAAAATATGTTAGATTGTAAATCTAGTGCGATTCAAAATACCTCTGATTTGAGACAGTGGAAAGTGGTATCTCCAAGGAAAATGTTTACCTTTGTTGAGCAATTAAACCACAACTTTGTTGTGTGTTTGAATCTTGACTCGTTGGTATCCGTGTTCTTCAGCGCATTTTAAGGTTCAAAGTATTCCTTCAATTATGGTGGCAACGCTAAGATTTTTGCCAATGTGGCTACATGCTGCTTTTATGAAGTTCCATGCTCTCCTCAAGCCACAAAACTCCAACCAACCTCACCTAGAGCTTCTAAAGCTGAACCGTCTGTATCGATGAGTACTTATCCAGGTTCTGGCAGCTTCCAACATAGCGATTGATTTTTTTTTCTTTTTCTGCTCTGCAACCCTAACTTTGAAGATGTCCTCAAGCTCTTTAATGTCAGTTGCATTCTTTGCTCTTAACTTGTGAACACTTTATTAGTACAAATTTCACAACTCGCTAAATCTAAAGAAAATAATGTACCTTTGAAGAGACACTTATTTTGAGATTTCCAAATTTCCCAAAGGACGAAAGCTGGACTTATAATATCAACTTCTTTCACTGAATTGAAATCCCCAATCGAATACCATGCTTGTAAAAAGCTCCACAAACATGCATTGAGAGGTAAGAAAATGCCATACAAAGCTAAAATATAAGACCAAACCTGTCTCATTTTCGGACATTCGAAAAACACATGTTGTATGCTTTCTTCTGCTTGAAGGCAAAGTGGGCAATGCGAGAGGTGAGTAGCTAAGCTCATCTGCTGTAAAACTTTAGGAAAAGGCATCAAGTAATTAAATAGTCTCCATAAGAAGAAATAAATTTTTAAAGGAATTAGTCTATTCCAAAAATTCTTCAAAATAGGAGTTTTGCCTATTTTTTCCCGAATTTCAGAATATGCAGTAGCTAATGCAAAATCTACAGAGACTGATAGTATCCATATGTGTCAGTCTTCTTCAGAAGAAGAAATCCAGCTCATAGCTTCCAACACTTGTTGTACCTATTGCAGCAAAAAAAACCATTAAATTCATTCAAATAAAAATCCTTATTAACAAAGAAACTTTAACCTAAAGGCCACGAAGTGGATGATTACGCAGCCAATTTATTGACCAAATTGACCCAAGTCCCGTCCAGTTATCAAACCAAAATGAAACCTCTCCTTTTCCAAGTAGGATTGTTGATCTTTCATTTGCCAGGTGATTAACATTGAGAACCCTACACCATCTTATCTTCTTTTTGGCCGTCTCTGATAATGGTTTAACAAAGATGATCCAAATACGCTTGTTACACTTCCACTTTCACCAAAGTTTAAGAGAATAGGCATCAATAGTATCATGCATCTTCCTCAAACCAAGTCCATTTTCAGCTGTAGGGAATGTAAATTTATGCCAAGCTTTCCAATTCCTATCTCAAGGTCTTCCTTTGTTCCTCATAGGAATTTCTGATATCTCTTCTCTAAAGCATCAATGATCATTTTTGGCGGCACTATTGCTAAAAAAGTGTGCATAGGAATGGCAGACAAGACATTCTGAATCAGAAGGAATCTCCCGCCCGCAGACGAAAATTTATTCTTACAATTTGCTAACAGTGCATCAAATGAGTCAATATGGTGTTGAAAATAGTTAAACTTTCTCCTTCCCTGAAAAGGCCTACAACCAAGGTAAGCAAAAGGAAAGTTATCTCTTCGCATTCCAATTCGAGTTTCGGAAATTTTTTCAGAAGCTAAGTAAAAACTTTTTTGCTTGTTTATTTGCTGACCTGAGGTAGCTTCATACTCTTGGAAAAAGATGTTCAATTGATCAATTGATTTTTCGAGTCCCCTCGTAAAAATAATTAAATCATCCACAAAGCATAGATGTGTTACCTCAAATGATCTAGCTAGGATACTATATGAAGCTATGTGACCATTCCCCGAAAGAACTTTCAAGCGTCTCGTCAAAGCTTCCGAAACCAAAACAAAAAGATATGGTGAGAGAGGGTCTCCATGTTTGATGCCTGTTGAAGCTTGGTAAACCCCCACTAAATTTTCATTCACAAGTATCGAAAACCAGCTATTACGTAAATTATTAATTATAAGGGCCACAAACCTTCCACAGAAACCAAAATTTTCCAAAACTTTTTGTAAAAAAGACCAAGATACTCGATCAAAGGCTTTCATCATATCCATCTTAAGAATCAAGTTCCCTCCTCTTGTCTATGCATAACCAGTTCGGCGTCTCCCAGAATACTAACAGAAAAATCATTTGAACATAGTACCCAAATTTTCCCAGAGATTAAAGCAAAAACTTGATCGAAATGCAGTTTCTGTTTTAAATCATCCAATTTTTGAGATTGTAACATTGGCTTGAGCAGAATCATAAAAGATATCGAGTGCATAGATTTTAAATTCTTTAATCTACGCCTTGATACTTTATTTCCTATTCCTCTCACATTCCATATTAGCCGACTTATCATGATTAAACTTTTGGAGGAATATCACCTTTGAGTCACGTTGAATGATGAACTTCATTTCCAGCATTTTGAACTTCCTTTTTAGATCCTCTAGGACGTCCAACTTTTTCTTTTTTGGTTCACCATCTAAGTTTATAACCCCAGAATCCTCCACTGCGCCTAAATCTAATTTGCCACCAACAGAGGTGTCGTCCTTTGAGTTATATTCTGAATTAAAATCATCGCAAATTTGAGCCTCATTTGGCACTTCAGAAAATATCTCTTCGTCACTCTCGGAATCTGCTTCATTAGTTAATTCATGATTAATAATATAATCTTATTATTCTTAAAAAAAGAAGTTAATTACTATTTTTTATCATTTAAATATATTATTACACCAGAATTAGTATGGAATTTTTTTAATTTAATTAATGATATATTTTTAAAACGTTTAAATTGTATAATCTAAAAGATATGGATGAAAGAGTATTTTTGACCGTTTACAGAAAATTGATTGTATGTTAAGGGGGCATTTGGTAGGTTGACTATGAGAATCACCTAATTCCTGTCAACTTTAGAGAACTCAGAATAAAAACAATCCAAGTAATTCTTGATATTCGATGGTTTCATAGAAAAACAAACAAAAGAACTATAGATTTATCCTAATATATTTGAGAATGCTCACTCACAGAAGAAATCTCAAAGCATCCACACTCATACTGACTATAATTGACTATGATTTGTAATAGTACTACAATAACAAAAAAGAAAAGAGAACATGTTGTATTAATTTAAAACTCGGGCCAGAAAAATTTGAAATCATACAAACATGTATAATTAAACAGTTTTATCTTTTGCATATCTGCTATCATATGAAGGAATTCATATTTCTTTAATTTGGATCAAGAGTACAACAATATATAC